ACATGGTCAAGTCGATCGATGACCAGACCCACTTCGTTTTCAACTGCCAGATGGGTAAGATTCGCAAGTCGCGCGCGCGCGTGTGTGTGTGTGTGCAACAGCCGTTGGCGCATAACTTGAATGCCAACACCATAACATTGGGCTGCGCAGGGAGAGGCAGGTCGACCATGTGCACGGTGATGGCCTCCCTGATGTACATGTGGTGTCGGCTCGTCAACAAGCCACTGGCCTATCGGGCGGAAGACGACACCGAACACGAGGCGAAGCTGGAGGAGGACATCCTCACCAGCGGAGAGAAGAAAGCGCGCGTTCGCAAGACGCCCACGAAGATCCACAGCTACGACCGCTTCGTCTCCTACCTCGACTCGGCCAACTGGAAGCGGGCAAGCAGTGTCAGGTAAAACACGACATTCTGTGCCGCTGTGGTGGTGGTGGTGGTGGTGGTGGTGGTTAAGTCTTCGGATCAGGCATAGCGACATGGATGGCTTAGCATCGTTTCGCAACGGCGAGTACAAGCCCGTGATGAACCTCATCCGCACTCTCAAGTATGGCCGTCAGACCAAGCAAGAGGTGCCTCTTCTTCCTTCCTTTTGTTTTCACCATGAACCTTGACCCACCCCGCTCCACCACCAGGTCGACTTGGCGATCGACGTCTGTGAGCTGCTGCAGAACTTGCGCGAGGTTGTGCTGGACTACAGGCTCAGGTTCGTTGGTCCATCGCCCCACTTCTTTCTTGTATTGTTCCATTTTCATTCTTTTCCTTTCTCTTTTCTTTTTCTTTTTGGCTTGGCTTCGCGTTGTTGTCGTTGTCGTCGGTTCTCCGCCCCTTGTGTGCGTCAGATATGAGCAGACCCGGTTGCCCGAGGAGAGCCAGATCTACCTGGGTCAGGCCACCACGCTCCTGGAGCGATACGTGTACCTGATCGTGTTCAACGCCTACCTGTCCGAGCAAGCCCCGCTCCACTTTGCGGTGGCCTTCAGCGCGTGGCTCGCCGGCCGGGAGGAGATCACCAGCATCCTGGCCCAGATCAAGGCCGACCCCAACAAGGCCCTGCGCATCACCGGCCAGGTCGTGGCACCAGGTAAGGCCAAGCAGGCTAAAGGGGACGACCTGGAGGAGCAGGAAGAGGCGGCTGGTGGTAGACTGGTCGATTCTCTGGACAATTCAGGGGACGATGTCGTGCGGAGCCGCAAGGGCGACGTACTGAGCAAGAACATGATGATCAAGGCCGACCTCTACCAGTACAACCGCGCCAAGTACGGCGAGAGCGCCAGGTTGGTCGCCGTAAGCGAGGTACACTTCCGCTGATGGCCGAATGCAATAATCAAATTTTTCTAATATAATATTATTTATTTGCTATTTAAAGATACAATATTAATATTAATGTAATTATTAGGACGTGTGCAACTTCCGTTCGGCCGATGGCTACGATCGCGTGCACGGTGTGGGCCAATCGAGCGTGGAGGGCACCCGCAAGGTCATCTCCTACCTGGTCGACCTGGAACGCGCCAAGGATCCGTATGAGCGCTCTATTTTCATTAATTTATCTATTTTTTTTGTTGATTTTTACTCATCATCATAATCATCAGGTCGAAGGAGGTGGATGTCGTGTGGATCAACCTGCGCGAGGAGCCCATCATCTTCATCAACTCGGCGCCATATGTGCTGAGGGATGCGGAGCACCCGTTCAGCAACCTGGGCAGTTTCGAAGGCATCGCCCCGGATCATCTGGAGGAGATGGAGCAGAGGCTCAAGGAAGATCTGCTGCGCGAGTGTGCCGTCTACGGTGGCAAGATCCTCGTTCACGATGAAACCGACCTACAGCAGGTGTGTGTCATGTGCGTGCCGTGTTATGGCGTGTGGTGTGTACGGTTGCTAACCCTGTGTGCCGCGTGTGTCGTGTCGCTCAAGGTGGTCTCCTCGTGGCTGACCGTTGCTGTGAACAGCGAGACCGGGATGCCGGCCATTGAAACGACGAACGAGGTGACAAACCCTAAAGTTGACATAACCCGTCATCGTTGTCCGTGGCGCTCACGAGCGTGCTGGCCCTACCACTACGCTCTCATCATAGGTGTTTGCCAGGGTGTCGCCTTCGCAGTCCACGCCGTCCGGTGTCGAGGGACTTCGCTCTGTGAGCTACTACCGCGTCCCCGTAACGCCCGAACGGTGCGTCACTACCGACCCACGCATTGGACAAGCCTCCGTTTCGGAAACACGGTAACGCTCACGCGACGCCTCTCTCCACGACACGCCACTCCGTGCAGCTCGCCCGAGGAGAAGGACTACAACGAGTTCACCAGTATCCTGACCGAGGCCCCCGAGAACGCGCACATCGTCTTCAACTGCCAGCAAGGGGTACGCACCGATGTGTTGCTGTGCTTGCAGCACCAGCACGCCGGCGGCTTACGATCATGTGGGGGGGACCAATACAACGACACAGGGTGGTCGCTCGACTGTGGGCATGGTGGCCGCGGTGCTCATCCAGATGTGGTCCGACCTGAAGAAGAACGGGCTTCCCTTCGTGCCCGGCTTCCTGCCCGGCGCGTCGACTCAGGAAAGGCGCAGGGACAGGCGCGGCGAGTACGCTGCCATCATGGGGCTCGTCCGCACCCTGAACCAGGGTATGTCGTCAACCGCCAACACCACTTGCACACACCTCACCACAATCAACCTCAACCACCAACCGACAGGCCAGCTTCTCAAGCAGCAGCTTGACACCGCCATCGACAGCTGCGCAAGTCTCACCAACGTACGCCAAAACCATTTCATTATCTGATTAATTTGATTTATATTGTGGCATTACGCGAATTGTTGTTTATTTTATTGAATTTTAATCAATTAATATCTATTGGGCTGGTGTGCGTAGGTGAGGGACGTGGTGGCGGACATGGCGCGCGAGAAGAAGTACACGGAGGACCGCACGCAGCAGGAGACGTTCGACCGGATGTGCACCAACTACCTGGAGCGCTACTTCTACCTGCTTCTCTTCAACAGCTACCTCTCCACGCAGACCGCCGCCGGGTTCCCGCTGGCCTTCACCGAGTGGGTCAAGACCAAGAGCGAGATCGCCACTCTCACGCACCAGATGCACGCCAACCCGCAGCAGTCGGTCAAGATCGTGCTCCACGACCAGCTCCAGCCGACCGAAGCGCCCGCGGGCTCGGCCGCGACGGCCGACGAGGCCGAGGCCGACCAGAAGAACAAGGGCCTGGAGACCGCGAGCCAGGCCCAGCGCGAGATCGAGATCAGGCAGGCCATCGTCGACCGTACCGGCGACGTGCTGGTGACCAACACCATCCTCAAGGCTGACCACTTCCCCGGCTGCCAGCGGAAGGGCCTGCAGCCGCGCCTCACCGGCGCGCCCAACTTCCGCCGCGTGGAGGGCATTGAAGTCAATGTCTACGGCGTGGCACAGTGCACCATCGAAGGTTCGTATGCGTGCGTGTGCGGTGTGTGCGAGTGCGCGTGCGCGTGCGCGTGTGGAAGCTGATCGCTGGTAATAGGAGTGGTGAATCTGCTGGACCATCTGCGCACTCAGCCGCAGCGTCCATCCTCGCTGGCCGCGGCTGTGCCCAGCGACCCGACCAGGTCGCCGACCGTCGTATGGACGAACCTCCGCGAAGGTGACCACGCCTGTGGGGGGGGGACTTGTCGTGCATCTCAACAGCGCTGACTCCTCTCTACACGCAGAGCCCATCATCTACGTCAACAACCGCCCGTTTGTGGTGCGACAGCAAGACCTGCCGTTCAACAACCTGGAGATCACCGGCATCGAGCCCGATGAGGTGGAGGCCATGGAACAGCGGCTCAAGGCTGACATTCTCCAGGTGCGTTGGCATACGCTCGTGCCGATGGTCAGTCCGGTCGCTTACCCCTTATTGTTCGTACGTGGGTTCTGTTACAGGACGCCGCTAAGTACGGCGGACGAGTTCTGATCCACGAAGAAACGGACGACGGCCGCCTGGTTGGCAACTGGGAAGAGGTTCGCCATCGCTTGGCTTTTACTTTGGTTACATTGCGCCGCGAATGTTGTTTAACGTAATACTGCGTTGTCACCAGGTGACTTCGGAGACAGTGTTGACGCTGCGCGAGGTCTACGAGAGCGTCAACAAGCGGGGCTACATGGTGGACTACAAGCGCATTCCCATCACCGACGAACGGTGCGCTCTGCGCTCCACATGTGTTGCTTTGTTGGCCCTCACCAGCGATCGCATCCTGTATTGACCGTGTCGAGTGTGTCACAGTGCTCCCGAAGAGAAGGACTTCAACGAGCTGCTCAAGCGGCTCAAGATGGTAACCGCCTTCGACCACGTCGTGTTCAACTGCCAGATGGGTTCGTGTTTTTCTTCGCGCTCTACTCCCCGACTTGCATTCAGGCCTGACCTCTGCTTCTCCCTTAAGGTCGCGGCCGCACGACGACGGGCATGGTGGTGGCCTGCATGGGCGTCGCTCACCGCTACCCCGAGCTTCTCCCGCCGCCCATGTAACCGCCCTCGCCCTCTCAGCTCGCCTCGTCTTCGCGATTCTTAGATCACTCCGCACGCACACACCACCGCACACGCACACAGGGAGCTTCCATCGCATCTGGAACTGGAAGCGCAGCACGAGACCGTGCCCGCCGCGCTCAGGGGCCACGCCCGCCGATCTTCGTTCACGCCCCTCAAGAAGGAGCTCGGCATCAGCTACCACAACGGCGACTACAAGGTACCCACACTCACCTCGTCCACCCTCTACTGCTGCGGGGTGAACTAAGTGCCTACGTCGACGGTGAACCCGACCGCGACACACCACAGATCATCCTGCGTCTGATCCGCGTGTTCAACAACGGCGCCGAGATCAAGAGGCGCACGGACGTGGCGATCGACGCCTGCTCCGTCATGCAGAATCTGCGCCACGCCATCAAGGAATACAAGGTCAAGACCGAGGAAGCTCAGTTGCGTCTCCCGCCCTCCCTTCTTGTTGTGCGTGTGCGTGCGTGTGCGTGTTGCGTGCTCTGACATGGGGACATCAACCACTACAGCGAGCACGGTAATCAGGCGCAGTACAAGTTCAACAAGGAGCGCGCCATCGCCTACCTGGACGTGCGTAGTTCACATCAAATCGAATTCTCCTGTGTCTTGTCTCTCGACTGACCAACTTGTTTTTGCTCAGCGGTACTTCTACCTGGTTGCCTTCAACGCCTACCTGAGCGAGTCCGACACCAACGTCAAGGGCTTCGACCAGTGGATGCTCGAACGCAAGGAGCTCAAGTCCCTCCTCAAGGAGATCTCCCTCGACTGATTGCGGCCGCTGCTTTCCTGGTAATTCGCCTGGTCGGGGTTTTAAAAAGATAATAATTCTTTTTTCCTTTTGAGACTTTTATTCCCACCAATCGGGGGCAGAGACAACGAAATTTCGTGACCGCCAACATAGCTTCCCGCAAGAAAGTCCAACCTTCCACAAGAGCGACTTGGCGGCGTTTGCGGGAGTCCGGGCCGGAGGCTGGCGCCACGGTTTTATTTTGCGGGGCCTACTCATTACCGACTCATCATTGAGACAGACGACGTCGGCCACCAAGCACAGCCACCACCACAGCAACAAGAGAGCCAGCGACCAGAAGCACAACAAACGGTGCCAAGCTTTCTCTCTTTCATCTTGGTTTTCCAAGAATTCTACAAAACGAAACCATTGATTAAGCAATGTTCATAGGATTGACGTCACCTCCACCACACAGACGTGCACCACACTGCCACAACAAGTGCCAACCAAACTCGCCACACAACAACATAAAACACAGAAAAGATGAGTGAGCCTACACAGATTTCGTTTTCGACGATCGACGAGGCCGTCAAGGCACTGAGCGAAGGCGGCCTGGTGGTGGTCATGGACGACGAGGACCGCGAGAACGAGGGCGACCTCCTCCTCGCCGCGCGCCACGCCACGCCCGCCAACGTCGCCTTTGTCCTGCGCCACTCCACCGGCATCCTGTGCGCCCCCATGCCCGCCGCCACTGCCGACGCGCTCGACCTTCCGCCCATGGTCGACTCCAACACCTGCCCCAAGGGCACCGCCTTCACGGTCACCGTCGACGTGCGCGACGGGACCACGACCGGCGTGAGCGCGGCCGATCGCGCCGCCACGTTCCGCGCGCTGGCCGACGGCTCGGGCGCGACGACGGCCGACGACTTCATCCGGCCGGGCCACGTCTTCCCCCTGCGGGCGCGGCCCGGCGGCGTGCGCACGCGGCGAGGACACACCGAGGCCGCCGTCGACCTATGCGAGCTCGCCGGCATCTACCCACCTGTCGGTGCGTGTCGTGTCGTTGGTCGTGTGTCGTGTGTCGTGTGTCGTGTGTCGTGTGTCATGTGTCGTGTGTCGTGTGTCGTGTGTCGTGTGTCGTGTGTCGTGTCTGTGGGTGTGCGGTTGGGCTGACGTTGTGTTGCTTTGTGATGGGTGCAGGTGTGATTGGAGAGATCATGGACAAGGACTCGGGGGAGATGAAGCGACTGCAGGGCTGCTACGAGTTGGCGCGCGACCACAACCTGCCCATCATCACCGTCGAGCAGCTCGTGCGCTATCTCGACGCCCGCGACGCCGCCGCCGCAGCGCAGCAGTCCGAGGAGGTGAGGCTGGTGGCCGAGTGCACGGTGCCGATCGAGCGCAGCGGGGCCTATCTGGGCGAGTGGCAGATGAAGGTCTACGCCGGCGAGAAGAAGGGCCAGCACGACGAGCCGCACAGCCACATCATCGCGCTGGTCAAGGGCGACGTGACGGCCGACGACGGCCGCGCAGTGCTGGCGCGGGTCCACAGCGAGTGTTTCACCGGCAACACGATCGGCAGCATGCGGTGCGACTGCAACGACCAACTCACCGAGGCCCTCAAGATGGTGGCCGATGCCGGGCGCGGCGTGGTGCTGTACGTCCAGGGCCACGAGGGCCGCGGCATCGGCCTGGTCAACAAAATCAAGGCTTACAAGCTCCAGACCGAGGTGCGCATACCATACATTCCTGTGTGTTGTGTGCGTGTATGTCGTGTGTGTGCGGTCGTGATGCTGATGCGTGTTGCTTGCTACGACGTGCAGGAGCGGCTGAACACGTACGAGGCGAACACGGCACTCGGGCTGCCGGTGGACGAGCGCAGCTACGAGACGTCGCGCGCCATCTTTGCGCACCTGGGCATCCGCACGCTGCGGCTCATCACCAACAACCCGTCCAAGATCGACGCGCTGCGGGGCATGGTGGCCGACAGCGTGCCGCTGCTCTCGCCCGTCAACGAGCACAACGCCGGCTACCTCAAGGCCAAGCGCGACATGGAGCAGCAGCTCAGCACCCTCAAGCGCTCGACCGACAGCGCCGGCACCCACCGGCAGCTCAAGCGATCGATCAAGAGCATTCTCGACGAGCACCCGGCGTCGGGCGTGGCGGCGGCCAAGGAATCGGGGGTCTCGGCGGCGGTCAGTGCGGCACTGCTGGAGGAGGCGCAGGCGTTCAACGCCTACGCGGCGGCGCCGTCGGTGGCGCTGGGCGCCGGCTGCTCGATCGAGACGTCGCACATCACCAAGGAGATGCCGCTCACCATCCCCGACCACGTCGACACCACCCGGCTCCGAGTCGGCATCGTCCGCACCCTGTGGAACGAGGGCTTCGTCGGCCCGCTGGTACGCACATGAAACACACCCACACACACGACCAACGACACGACACGCGTGTGCGTTTGGCTGACCTCGCATCATCATCAACATTAGACGGCTGGCTGCAAGAAGGGTTTGGCGGCGGCGGGCGTGCCGGAGAAGAACGTGGTCGAAGTATCGGTGCCGGGCTCGTTCGAGCTGCCCTACGCCGCACTGAGCCTGGCCCAGTCGGGCAAGGTCGATGCCGTCGTGGCGCTGGGCGTGCTGATCAAGGGCGAGACGGCCCACTTTGAGAACATCTCGGCCGCGTGCGCCAACGGCCTGATGGAGGCCGGCCTCAAGACGGGCGTGCCAGTGCTCTACGGCGTGCTCAACTGCTACACGACGGACCAGGCCAAGGCCCGGTGTCTGGCCCCCAGCCAGCTGCCCATGTCGCTGGGCCTCTCCGCCGTGCGCATGGCCGCACTCAAAACCAACGCCTTGTAAAACACGTTTTGGTGTAAAAAGTTGTACATGAAACGCCCAGCTCCAGACCACCCGTCTGTGCTGCCGCGTCCGAATGTCCGAATGTCCGAATGTCCGCCTTCAGCCGCTGCCGAATACGCGCACTGGTCGACAGGCAGGTGCTCCTCATCTATCAGCCACTGCAGCATGTCGATTCGACCGACCTGGGCGGCCATGTAGACGACGCCGTGATCCAACTTGGCGCCACGCGAACGAAGAAACTTGAGCACTTCAAAGTGGCCTGCCGCGATGGCATCGCGGCACGAGCTGCGTTGGATCGCGCTTCCCTCCGAGAGTATGAACTCGATGACTGGCAGATGACCGCCCTCGATGGCTCGTTCGAGTGTGCGGATGCAACGATATCCGGTGAGGGACTTGACGGTGTCCAGATCTCCTTCGTAGGCCGCCTGGATGCAGCGCTGGATGTTGTCGTGTTTTGTGGGGGTGGTGTTGCTCATGGCGTAGCGGAGTGGATGAACGAAAGGCTCAGCGGGTCCATTTATTCATCGGCGACCTTTACCGCCTCGCGGTTATTGGCCCAGCGACCCTTGTACTCGGCGTAGCGACGCCCGAGCCAGATGATCGTCGCACCGATGTGCCACCGCCACAGCACGTCGGGATCGCAAGGATGGCTGTTGAGGTAAACGTCGATCGCGCTCAGGATCACCGCGGCATGGGCCATCTTTTGCCTACGCAGCGCATACCACGCGTCGTTTGATTTGATCTCGATGGTGTCTTCCATGTATTGTTCTCAACCTTTGTCCATGCGAATCATGTGCAGACGATAGCATCTCAAACACAGGAAGACGCCGTCGTTTACACGCCGTTCCCATCCGTCTGTCATCGTGCAAGACTTGCAGGTCTTGCGCCGGCAATCCTCGCACTTGTAGAAATCGAACGTGCTCGTCAAACAGCCCGGACAAGGCTGGGGCGAAACTCTGGCGTCCACACCTGTCTCGTACTCGA